CATCAGAGAAATGCAGATCAAAACCACCATGAGGTATCACCTCACACCGGTCAGAATGGCCATCATAAACAGATCCACAAACAACAGGTGCTGGCGAGGCTGTGGAGAAAAGGGAACTCTAGTCCACTGTAGGTGGGAATGCAGACTGGTGCAGCCACTATGGAAAGCAGTGTGGAATTTCCTCAGAAAGCTGAAAATGGAACTGCCTTTTGATCCAGCGATTCCCCTGCTGGGACTATACCCTGAGAACACCAAAACGCCAATACAAAAGAACCTATGCACCCCAATGTTCATAGAAGCACAATTTACAATAGCCAAGTGTTGGAAGCAACCTAAATGCCCATCAGTAGATGATTGGATCAAAAAGTCATGGTACATATACACAATGGAATACTACGCAGCAGAAAGAAAAAAAGAAGTACTAAACTTTGCAACAGCATGGATGGAACTGGAGAGCATCATGCTAAGCGAAATAAGCCAGGGGGCGAAAGACAAATACCATATGATCTCACCTATAAGTGAAACCTAACCAACAATACAAAGATGCAAGTACAATAAGACCAGCAACACTGAAAGGAAAAGAAACCAACAGAGACAAGAGGGAAGGAGGGAGGGTGGCGGGGAAAAGGAAGGGAAGGGGCAAGTCAAGGAACATATAGCAAGGACTCATGGACAAAACCAAAGGGGAAGAGCTCAGGGAGGGAAGGAAGGAGGGGACAAGGGAAAGTGGTGGGGTGTAGGCAGAGACAAATGTATTTGAAAAAATAAATAAATAAATAAATAAATAAATAAATAAATAAAGTCAAATTACATGTTGAAAAAAAAATTCGCCCCACTCGAAGTGAAAGGAGCAATCCCCGAAAGAGCACTAAGTGAAATAGAGGCAAGTAAACTGCCAGATATTGAGTTCAAAACAATGGTTCTAAGGAAGCTCAATGAGCTCAGTGGGCTCACAGAGAAGTACCAATAACTATAGGGAAAATATGAGGAACTTACTTCAAATTATGTCAGCATGAAAAAGGACAGAGAAATTTTCTATAAGAGACAAGAGGGAATGAAGAATACAACTTCTGAATTGAAGAACACAGTAGAAGGAATCAAAAGCAGGCTCAATGAAGCTGAGGACCGAATCAGTGAGCTAGAGGATAAGGTAGAAAAACACTTCGAGAAAGAAGAAGAAAATGAAAAAAGACTCAAAAAGAATGAAGAGGTGTTTAGGGTAATGCAGGACAAGCTGAAATGTAATACTATCCATATAATAGGGATACCAGAAGGAGGAGAGGATGAGGAAGGGATATAGAACCTATTTAAAAAAGTAATGATGGAGAACTTCCCTAATTGGAGGAGAGAAAATGTCACACAAGTCCAGGAAGCACAGAGAGTCCCATTCAAGAGGAACCCAATGAGGCCCACTCAAAGGCACATCATCATTAAAATGGCAAATATCAAAGACAAACAGAGAATCCTAAAGCAAACAAGGGAGAAAGAGGTAGTAACATATAAGGGAGCCCCAATACGGCTAGCAGCTGACTTCTCAACAGAAACCCTGCAAGCCAGAAGGTAGTGGCAAGAAATATTCCAAGTCATGAAAAGCCAAGACCTGCAACCAAGACTGCTCTACCCAGCAAGGCTCTCAATTAAAATGGAAGGCGATGATCAAGTTTCAATTTTTTGCAATTCCCCTGCTCAGACTATACCCTAAGAATCCCAAAACACCAATTCAAAAGAACCTATGCACCCCAATGTTCATAGCAGCACAATTTACAATAGCCAAATGTTGGAAGCAACGTATATGCCCATCAGTAGATGATTGGATCAAAAAATTGTGGTAAATTTACACAATGGAATACCACACAGCAGAAAGAAAGAAAGAACTACTACACTTCGCGGCAGCATGGAAGGAACTGGAGAGCATTATGAAAAGCGAAGTAAGCCAGGGGGCAAAAGATAAATACCATATGATCTCACCTATATGTGGAACCTAACCAATAAAACAAAGATGCAAGGAAAATAAAACCAGCAACACTGAAAGAAAAAGAAACCAACAGAGACAAGAGGGAAGGAGGGAGGGGTGGGAGGGGGAAAAGGAAGGGAAGGGGCAAGTCAAGGAACAAATAGCAAGGACTCATGGATGAAGCCAAAGTGGGGAAGGATTGAGGAAGGGGGAGGGGGGAGGGGAACAGGGGAAAGTTGTGGGGGGAAGGCAGAGATAAATGTATTTGCAAAAATAAATTAATTAAAAAAATAAAATAAAATAAAATGGAAGGTGAAATAAGGAGTATCCCAGACACAAGAAGGCTAAAAGTCTACACCTCCACCAAACCAGCACTGAAAAATATGCTAAAGGGACTGCTTTAAGATGAAGAAAAAGTTTCTATGAATACCCAGTTCCTTTCAGAGTTGCCAATACTTGATATTACCAATATTTTTACTACTCCTTAATCTGATTGTGACAATGATGTTATTTTAATTGTTCCTTTACTACTTGTTGAAACTAAACCTGTTTTAGTATATTTCTTGCCTATTTCTATTATTTTTTAAAAAAGCTTTAAATTACTTTTTGGTATTCTTTATCCATTTATTGATTAAAGGTTTGTAGAACTTTTTTCAAAAAAATAAAAAAAACCTATTTACCATGTTTTAGATGTGTTGCAAATACTTTTCTATTCTATTCTTTGTCCTTTAACTTATTTTATATGTATATTACTATATAGTTAAATGTTTAATATAGTCATATTGTCAATATTTACTTTATAGCTTCTGGGTGTGAGTATTATACATCAGGTCATGAAAAAATATTTGTTCTATTTTCTTCTAAAACTCCTTAGATTCTACATATTGATTTTTAACTCACCTGAATATTTCTTGTATAATGTGTGAAATAGGGCTCTATATTTCTTTTATTTTAAGTAATAGTGGTCCATGCACCTTATTTGTTGAATAAGCTTTATTTTCCCCATTGGCTTGAAATATCAACTTAATCATATATTATATTGTTACATATATACATTTGTCTCTAGAATGCTCATTATATTTCATTGATCTGCTTGATTATTTCTGTGCTGATGTCATGTTGGTTTAATTGCTGAGACTTTATAAGGGTTTTAATTTTTTTAATATAATTAACTTTGACATTTAAAAAATAAATAAAATCAATCTGCATTTAAGAAAGAAAGAAAGAGAGAGAGATGGAACTCCTACCTTTTGTGACAACATGGATGAAACGGGAGAATATTAAGCTAAGTGAAGTAAGCCAGTTGATGAAAGACAAATACTATACAATCTCACCTCTAAGTGTACTGTATTCAACAAAATAAACTAACGAACAAAATAAATCACAGGCACGGAAACATGGAGCAGACTGAAAGTGACCAGAGGGGATGGGGAAAGTGGACAGTGGTAGAAAGAAGGGGAAGGAACTAGACAAAGAACATGTATGAATGACCCATGGACGTGGACAACAGAGTGGGAGTTGACTGTGGGAGTGGGGGGTGGGGGTGGGGTGGGTGGAGGGGGTAAAGGGGTAAAAATTGAGACAACTGTAATAGAATAAACATGATTTATAAATTTAAAAAATAAATAAATAAATTCTAAAAAAAATAATAAGTGATTCCGAGGATATGGAGAAATTTGAGCCCTAGTACACTACTGGTGGAGATGTAAAAATGGTGAAGCCACTTTGGAAAAACAGCCTAGCAGTGCCTCAAAATGTGAAACAGTCACCATATGGTCCATCAATTTCACTCCCAGTTATAGAGCTATAGGAAATGAAAACACGTATTTACATACAAAAACTTGCACATGAATGATCATAGTATCATTATTCATAACAATCAAAAGGTGGAAACAACTCAAATGTCCACTGATTAATGAATGGATAGATACAATGTGGTTTATTCATATAATGAAATATTCAGCAAGAGAGGTAGAAGTGGGCAAAGCGGGGATAAATGGGGATAGAAAGAGACTTGACTTTGGGTCAGGAGCCGACAATGCAGTATGAAGATGATGTTTCATTGAGTTGTACGGTTGAAACCTATATGGTTTTATTGCCAATGTTACCTCACTAAATTCAATAAAAAATAGTATTCAGCCATATAAAATAATGAAGTACTGCTACATGCTACAACATGGATGAACCTTGAAAATATTATACTAAATGAAAGAAGCCAGTCACAAAGGACCACGTGTTATATGATTCCATTTTTACAAAATTTATAGAAGAGCAAATCTATAGCAAAAAAAAAAAAAAGTAGGTTAGTAGTTGCCCAGAGATGTGGTTAGGGGAACTAGTGGGGGGTAGGGAGGGAGAGTAACTGCTAATGGGTACAGGGTTTTTTGAGAGGGCTAATGAAATGTTTTTAAAATTAATTGTTGACATGACTGTATAACTATAAATATATAACAAACCAGTGAATCATACATTTTAAATAGGGAATTTATGGTATGTAAATTATATTTCAATAAAGCTATTACTTAAAAAGAAAGTTCAAATAATAAACTTTTATGAATATACTTGATAAAGTACATCTTCAGCAGGACAGCTGGGAGAGCTCCCACATCTGCATGTTCCAGTGAGGAAGCCCACTTCTACCAAGGTATCTATACCACTAACTCCAGCCTACTCCCCAACCCCTATCTTTGCTCATAGCATTTTATGCTTCCCTCAAGGCACTTTTCACAATATGGAGCAAGAGCCTGTTTTTCTGCTCTCTAATCCCCACTAGACAATGAGTTCCTTGAGAGAAGGGACATGGTTTGCCTTGTTCACTGGCATATCCCACATCTAGCACAGTGGCTGGCACACAATGTCAAAGAAATGACTAGATCCTAATCTACCTTAAGGGCACAAAGATCTGAGGCAATGTCAGAGCAGAAGCAGACAGGGAAGCTGAAGCAACTGGACACGAAATTGCCTAACTATATCTCTAAGGTGTAAATTTAGCCTGCGCCCTCCATCACCAGCTTAGCCTTAAAGTCTTAAAGTCGGGAACACTTACTGGGCTTTGTGGCAAGAGGCTGCTACTGGTCTCTTGAGTACTAGGAGGTCGACTTCCACTTTCTTCTAGTGGCAAAATACCCCTTCGATCCAGCACACTGAAGGAAATAGGACAGTTAATAGAACACTTCACATTCACCCTGTGAGCCACCTACCCACAGAACCTTGCTGTGTGTACTGGAAAACATAAACCTGTTCTTTGGCTATCTAGCCTGATCCTAGCACATGCCTCTATCTTCCACAAACCAGAGAACACCACATTAACAAGGGGGAAAAAAACAAATGAAATAAAAACGAAAGGTCATCCCTTCAAAACAACCAGCCCATGGTCTATGTATGGTCCATGTAGATATGGCACCAAGGGACAATCCCTGGGAAGACCTATTTGACACCAAGAGGTCACAATCAGAAGAAGGCATCACACTAGGTAACAGGATCAGGTTGAGCTGCTTGTCCCAAGAGTCCCAGGACCTTCTAGTCCCCTGAGTACCTGGGGGGCAAGGGGCCACACAGCACTTCACAGCAGTTCTTCACAATGTTGCCATGACTGTAAGGATTCTGGACGCGATTCTTCCCTGTCCATGAGCCTTTGATCTGCAAGATAAAAGCCAAGGCTTGCATTAAAAATTATGTTGAAAAAATACATGCAGCATGGGAAGATGAAAAAGTTCTGGAGATAAATGATGGTAATGGTTGCACAACACCATGAATGTACTTAATGTCACTGAATTATACACTTAAAATGGTTAAGGTGGTACATTTTATATAATGAGTATCTTCCCACAGTAGAAAGAAATACAATGCAGAGCCCTGTGAAAATGTCCACAATAGAGTGAAAAAGAGCAGATAATTTATTTTCATTTAAAAATACAAAATATACTCACAAATAAAATAGAAACAGAGGCATGGATACATGGAACAGACAGGCAGCTGTCAGAGGGGAGAGGGGAGGGGTGAATGGATAAAAGAAAGGTGAGAGGATTGGCCAAAGAACATATATGCATAACCCATGGACACAGATGACAGTGTGGTAGTAGTCTGAGGGAAGGGGGTGGGGCAAGGGCTGGGTGGAGGTGAGCAAGGGGAGGGGGGAATAGGGATATCTGTAATAGTGTAAACAATAAAAATAAAGTAAAAACCAAAAATAAAAACTATATATTCACATAAACAAACATGGAAACAAATCTAGAAGACTTCAAGTCATGCTATTAACAATGGTGATTTATAGGAGGTAAAGTTACAGGGAATTATTTGCTATTTTTTGCTTATCTATATTTTCTGATTGTCTGCAATGAACATGGATTAATTGGTAACTTTTAAAAAGAAAGGATTTATTCAGTGCACCTGTCCTTGTGTATTCCAAATCCAGGGGCATCAACTAGCCTTTAAAAATCTATGAATAGCGAAGATTTTGTACCCCCCCCCTCAACCATTCAACTTCTTCCTAATGCTCTACAGGCATTTGGCTCCAAACAAAGCAGTCTACTTTCTCTTCCACGCATCAGATTTAATAATCTCCCACACCAGGTTTCTGCCTGCCTCAACCTCCTACTCCCTGGAAACTCAGTTCTCTAGCAGGTAATAAGAGAATAGGCTTTGGGAAAAAAGAAGAATATGTGATGAGGAGATGGGAAAGTTGACTCACGTCTTCATTGGTTGTCTGGTTGAGAGCCACAAGGAAAGTGTGAAATCCAGTCAGTCCCACGACGGACCAGAGTGTGAAGAAGCAAATGAGTACTTCTAGAACAGTGAGGTGATGTTAAGGAATGTTGAAGAAGCCACACAAGCAGACTCAATGCTTCAGCCTTTCTAATAGCATCAGTCATACCATCTTTCCCTCTCAGAACATATTACATATGGCCAAGTATCCATATATAACAGATGAATTCTAAACTTACTGAGTACATCCCTTATGACAGGTAAAGGACTCTTGTCTATCCACTATGAGTAACTCTCTAACATCTCTAGTGTATTTAAGTGTTTCTCTGCTTTTTCATCATTAGCTTTTTGAAGGAGATGTTTAGGAGAGGGCCAAAGCTAAACAATGATAGCCATCACTGTCAATGGAAAATGCATCAAAAATAAACTTTATAAATGAAAACTTGGTGGGAAAAACAGGATGTGATTCATAGAAATCACATCTGAATCTCCTTTTCAGAAATCCAACTGCTGCACAAAATAAGCCTTAGCTATAACGTGAAGGTAGACTACCAGCAAGTGACATAAGAGGTATATCGAGGCAAAGACAGCCCCCTAGATGAGGCAGGGCTGAGCATGGGATCAGAATAAACTGGAAGGGAGGCAGTAGGGAAGGGGGTAAAGAAAAGACCACCCTTTAAGTCATGGCCATCTTCCATTCTGGTTGCTACCACGAAGACTACACTTTTTTAAAAAATTTAGACTTTGGCACTCTCTGACATCTGAAAAATGAGACGATGGGAGAACTGCAGAGAGAAAGCATGCTGGAAAGTAGTTTAAGAGGGATTTACAGGGACATACTGCCAGGGGAGGATATGTTCCAGGAGTTTCTTTCAACGTCTCCAGGAAGCCAATTTTCAAAGATTCTATGAAATTGGGAGGAGGGGTAGAGAAAAAAATTAGTGACTTTAGTAAAAAAATAAAAAAAATACACACTTATCCTAGTATTTACTCACTTTCTTTCCTACCTATCCCTTGTTACGAGCTGTCAAGAGATAAGCCCTCACTCAGACAAGGGACTCACATTCCCAAGCAGGGAGTCTCTTGACTAAAGGGTTCACATCTCCAATGCAGGACCTGGCACTGGTCTAGAGAGTTGGGCAGAAGCCAAGCATCTGGCTCCCTTCCCTTTTCCCTAGCCTGTAGCTATGGGCATGGAGGGGGATATTGATTAGTAGATCAAATAAATCACAAATATCCAAGAAAAATCCTCTCTTCTCACTGATCCATGTTCTCCCTTGTTTAAAATTCAGCTGAGAGCTCATCTCTTTCCAGGAAGCTATATTGATCAAGACCACTCCTTTTATTCCACATCCTACCTGCCCTTATTTATTATCTGTTAATTTTTGTGTGTTTATGTGTGTGTGCACATGTACACACATGGGTATGTATTTTCTATCTCCCAAAGTAAACCATAAGCTACTAAAAGGAATTTCTCTGGTATAACTTTCTACCACTTAGCACAGGGCAGGTATTACAAGGCAAAAGGAGAGAGGATGCAGACAGGCAAAATACATCCCCAACCTTCGGGATCACCTCAAAAATGCTCAGTACCCTGGGTATAGAGAAGTTATTATGGCCCCATTCCCCAGCAGAGGGCCAGTGAGAAGACCAACATACTCAGTAAATACTGATTGATATGTGCAGATGGTAGTGCTCATTTCTAACTGGTCCTAAGGCACCTTTGCAATGGTAAAATCCTGCCAGAAAACCCAACCACTCCCCTACGCTGCCTCAAGTTTTCTCCCACCCCACCCCAACTCCAACAACAGCCACTGCCCTGCATACTCACTGAGAGCCACATAGACGATGTTGAAGGCGAAGACATAGATGGTGAGGAGGGAGAGAGAAAGGATGAAGAGGTAGAAGTAGCGGTAGTTCCTCTTTCCAACACAGTTCCCCACCCAGGGGCAGTGATGGTCGAAGCGCTCTGCGGAGTGGGGGAAAAAGAGAGAATCTAGTGCCAACGCCTCCAAAACACAGTGCAACCCCGCCATTCACATTTAAATAACTAATTCAAAGACCCCAGGATCATTGCCTGTTTTAACTGTTAAAAAAAAAACTGGTTTTTATTTTTCACAATGTTTTCATAGCCATCTCATTTGATCCCCACAATCACCCTGGAAATTGGGCAAAAGAAGATATTATTTTCTGCATTTTATCAAGAAGAAAACTAAGGAACTGAGGGGTTCAGTGATCTGTCTCACTACCAGCTAACAGCAGAGACTTTTTTTTCCAAAGAAAAATCTTGGTAGATGGGCCTACTAAGTTCAGGAAGAAAATCTAGGTGAAAATAGTCATGGAAATTTTGAAAAAATTAGTGTCGTTTTTCTTAACCTCCAGTTAGTAAAAAACTATAAAATGATGTAGCATAGCTTAATGGAACAGAAAGTGCCCAGAAACAGACTCTGCAATATATAAGAATTGACTGTCTAATAAAAGCAGCATTACATTTTCAGTGGTAGAAGGAAGTATTTTCCATAAGCAACTCAGACAATTGGCTATTTGGTGGATAATAAGGTTAGATTTTTTCCTCTCACACTACAGTAGTACCTCAGTACTTGTCATTAATTCGTTCCAAAACTCGTGATGAGTGCAGAAATTGAGCAATACCAGACAATAAAGTATTTTTCTCTTGCGTGGCGGTATTGTGACTCATACAAGTTTTAGCAAGCGTGATGAGTCCCGAACAAGCGCCGAGTGCTGAAACATTTTTTTTCTCATCAAAATGTGACGAGTACAGTGTTTGATGGGTTCTGAAGCTGACAAGTACTGAGGTGTGACTGTATTTATCAAAATTAATTCCAGATGAATTAGAGTTAAATGTAAAAAAAAAAAACAAAGTAAAACAAAAAAAAAAAACATAAATAATAGATGAACATTTATCCCCCATATGGAGAAGTACTTTCTGAACATAAAAGTAATGAGGAAAAACACAGATGACAAAGAAAAATAGATTTAACTCATAAACTTTAAAAAATAGTTTGCATATGTTATAAATACTATTAAGAAAATTAAAGAGAAAAAAACCAACAGGAAGGTATCTTAGTATATGAATGTAAATGTATCTTAGTATCTTAGTAAATGTTGTATCTTAGTATATGAAAAATTCTTACAAATCAATAATAAAGTACAAATACTCCTTAAAAAATAGTCATAGGGCAAAAACAGTTAGTTAGTTATATATATATTCAGCCATGCCAGGTAGCTCAGTGGGTTAGAGCATTGTCCTGATATGCCAAGGTTGTGGGTTCAATCCCCAGTCAGGACACATACAAGAATCAACCGATGAATGAATAACTAAATGGAATAACAAATCAATGTCTTTCTCTCTCCCCCTACTTCTTTACTCTAAAATCAATCATCAAAAAATTTTTAATAAATAAATACATTTAGCCCTGGCTGGTGTGGCTCAGTGGATTGAACGCCGGCCTGCAAACCAAAGGGTCGCTGGATTGATTCCCAGCATAGGGCACATGCCTGGGCTGCATGCCAGGTCCCCAGCAATGGGTATGTGAGAAGGAACCATACATTGATGTTTTGCTCCCTCTCTTTCTCCCTCCCTTCCCTTCTGTCTAAAAATAATAAAAATAAATAAAAATCTTTAAATAAATAAATATGTTTAAATGTTTTCAGATCCAATAATAATTCAGTGTAAACATAAGAACATAAAACATAAAAATAATATCCAGTGCTAGGTAGAATAAGGTATAATGGACATTCTAATGTACTGTTGGTGTGAGTATAAATCAAGAAGACCTTTCTAGAAAGTAGTTTAGGAGTATGTATCAAGAGTTTTAACAATGCTCACACGCATTTAGCACAACAAGTCCATTTTCAGTAATTTCTCATGAGGAAATAGAGATATGCATAGAAATTCCAGTTCAATATTTTTGTTAAATTTTTATTGTGATTATATATATATAACATACAATTTGCCATTTTAACCATTTTTAAGTGTACAATTAAGTGGCATTAATTACATTCACAATGTGCAACCATCACCACTATTTCCAAAACTTTTCATCACCCCCAAAGAGAAACTCTGTACCCATTAAACAGTAATTCTCCATTTCCCCCTTCCCCTAGGCCCTGGTAACCTCTAATCTTCTTTCTATCTTTATGAATTTTCCTACTCTAGATATTTTATATAAGTGGAATCATACAATATGTGTCCTTTTGTGTGTGGCTTCCTTCACTTCACATTGTTTTCACTCAAGGTTTATCCACGTTGAAGCATGTATCAGCACTTCATTCCTCCTTATGGTTGAATAATATTCCATTGTATGGATATACCATATATTGTTTATCCTTTCATCTATTGATGGACACGGGTTGTTTCCATCTTTTGGCTACTGTGAACAATGCTGTTGTGAACACTGACATACAAAAATGTTTGAGTCTCTGTTTTCTTTTCTTAAAGATTTTATTTATTTACTTTTAGACAGGGAAGGAAAGGAGAGAGAGGGAGAGAAACATCAATGTGCGGTTGCATCTTGTGCACCCACTACTGGGGACCAGGCCTGCAATCTATAGGCATGTGCCCTGCACTGGGGAAGGAACAGGCAACCCTTTGGTTCGTAGGCTGGCACTCAATCCACTGAGCCACACCAGCCAGGGCTGAGTCTCTGATTTCGTTCTCTTCGGTATTGTTATGGACAGAATTGTGCACACACACACCCAAATTCCCAGCCTTAACTTCCCTAACTTCCAATGTAACTGTAGTTGGACATAGGGCTTCTAAGGAGGTAACTAAAGTTAAATGAGGGCATAAGAGTAGGGCCATAATCTTATTAGACCAGTATCCTTAAAAGGAAAGGACAAACACCAGGACTGCACAAGCACAGATAAAAAGGACATTTGAGGACACAGCCAAAAGGTGGCTGCCTGTAAGCCAAAGAGAGAGGCTTCACCAGAAATCAATCTTGCCAATATCTTGTTCTTGAACTTTTAAACTCCAGACCTGTGAGAAAATTAATTTCTGTTATTTAAGCCACCTAGCCTGTGTATTTTGTTATGGCAGCCCAAATAAGCTAATATAGGTATACACCAAAGAGTGTAATTGTTGGGTCATATGATAATTCCACACTTAACTTTTTGAAGAACTGTGAAGTTTTTCCACAGTAGCTGAAATATTTTACATTCCCACCAGAAATGTATGAAGGTTCTAATTTTACTATATCTGTAAATTAAATAATTTTGATTATAGTGTTACTATAATGAATAAAATGAAATTATGAATAATATCTAATGAAAGGACACTACTTAAATAAACTAGAATACAGTCATATGATAGCTTATACAGTCATTAAACTAAAATATTTTAAAAACATGTATTAAAGGTATAAAAGCATGCTTAAGATATAATATTAAGTAACAAAGCCAACAATAAAAACTTTATCATGTGTGATCTAATTATGCAAACAAGAGCAAGACTGGAAGGAAATACAGCAAAATAGAGAGTGAATTTGAGATTAAGTTCATTTATACTTTTTGTAATCCCCATATTTTCTGCATTGAAAATGTATTATTTTAATGAACCAAAAAAGCACAAAGAATAAAATGCAGAGTCTGGCACAAATAATGCCCCTTTTATTACAAACTCTTTTATTACAATAAGCATGTAATTCTGTGACATAACAATATCATACTCAAGCACACCATATGACATTTTAGGAGAAATGTTCAAATTAAAACTATCAACTATTACACCTATATTATTACCCTACCAACCACAGTCAAGTAGGCATTACTTCTGCTAGACCCTGTATGTCATTTTTAGAGGACAATGACCTGTGTACTGTCAAAAAAAAATAGTAAGACAGTAAGAATGATGCATGTCCCAGTTAAAGGGCTACAATATATCTTTTCAGAAAAGTGAAGGAAAATGTAGAAAAGAATGACATATTCAAGCCTTACTCTAAGCAAACCTGCCATATAAAAACATTGGAAACACAGATTTATATGGACATATTTTTACTGTATTTTAAATCATACTTTTTTTCTGATAAGATAAGCAATATGTGCTCATTGCAGAAAACTTTAAAAAAAATTAAATGAGGGAAATAGCATCACTCGTAACCCCACCACCTATGAATAACTAACTAAAAGCATTCTAAAGTATTTCCTTGAATATCTCTTTATACATATTTATAGTTTTTTAATGTGTAACTGAGATCACACTGTACATGTAGCCTACCTTTTGTTTTATTTCATTTTACTTTCTGATATAAGATTTTCCCATAAACGTCCATTGTATAAATGTCCCACAATTTATATGACAATTTATTTACTGGTGGACAATTATTCATTATTATAATAATGCTGAGGTAAATATTTCCATACTTAAATCTTTTACCACATTCCTGATCATTTTCTTAGGAATCTCTAGAAAATTAATCACTGACATCAAAAAGTACACATGTTTTAAGGTTCTTATGAATCTTACTAGGTTGCTTTCCAAAATGATTCTTCCAATTTACACCCCTACCAATGTAGCACTAAGCATTATCAAGTTTTCCTTGCTTATTTTCTAGATTTAAAAAGATCTTGTTTTAATTTTTATTTTGATATTTAGTAAGGGTAAATTTTTAATTTTTTTAAGATTTTATTTATTTATTTTATAGAGAGAGAGGAGGGGAGAGGAGGGAGAAAGAGAGGGAGAGAAACATTGCTCAGTTGCCTCTTGCACGCCCCCAACCAGGGATCAGGCCCCCAACCCACCTGGAATTGAACCAGTGACCTTTCAGTTCGCAGACCCTGACCCAATCCACTGAGCCACACGAGCCAGAGCAAATTTTTTTCACGTTAACCAGCTAACTATATTTTCTGTTTTATAAGCTCTCATATTTCTACTGAAATGTTAGTGCTTCTTTTTAAAAAAATGAATTTGTATATGTTCTTTATGTTTAAGAGTATTAATGAAATGAAATTCTTTATGAAAACCTTCACATCAGATCTTGAAATGTCAAGTTTCCTGGCTCATTTTAAATGGGTTTCAATTTATAAAAATCTTATCTACATATAGCTTTTTGCCGTATAAAATAAGATATATCTTTTCAGCCTTCGTCTAAAGAACTGGTTAATAAGAGGAAAGCAATGTACTCAGGTCTGTTCCATGGCATATATAAAGAATGCTCTAACTATGTCTATTTATAACATAAGGAATTGTACACATATGCCTATTGATAGACATAGTTACTGTTTCTGATCTTTCCCAGGGCTTAGCACACAGTAGGCAGTGATTACAACTAAGCCTCACACATGTGGATAAAAGCACAGATTCATTTATTATGCACACACATATACCCACCACCCTTGCAACAGCAGCAAAGAAAGAAGAAATGAAGGTTTGGCAATCATACCTGTTCCAGCTTCATTTTTACAAATTATATGAGCCCACACAAAGGTGTTTCATCTATTTCCTCATCTGCAAAATGGGGATAATATCTGTCTCATGGGGTTCTTACAAGTCTTAAACAAGAAAAAAGGAAAGCACTTCACACAGTGCTTAATGTATAGTAGGAACTCAATAAATGCTAGCAACTTTCCTCTTGGGAACACTACTTCTTACAAGGCCCTTCCTACCCCGATGCTGCCCTCCAGTGGACTAGAGTTCTCCTCCCACTATGTAAGGTGGGTTCCACTTGAAACAAACCCAGTAGAGGAAAAACTAGATTTGGAAATCAAATCAGGCCCTTTTTTTCCCCATTTACCAAAAAGGTGGGTTTTTTTTAAATTTTAGACTGGATGATATTTAAATTCCAATTTAGATTTACAGTTGTTCAGAAGCTTGTTTCCTATCTAATTCTCCTTTCCCTATCTATCCCTACCGATTTTTCCATGAAAAAATTACCCTGACTCTCTTCTTCAACGCAATCTTTCCCCCAGCCAAGGCCCCAGTGGTTCTACTCACCCACACAGTTGTCGCAGATGCTGCAATGGGAAGCCCGGGGAGGCCGGAAGATCTTGCATGTATAACAGTATTTCAGCTTTACAATCTGGTTGTTTATCTGGAAATTCTTAATACGAGGGGGTGGTCGCTGACCCTGAGGCACTGCACCATTGGTGGCTTCTGTAGATCCGTAAAGACAGTTAATATCACGACTAGCCATTATTTGAACCCAAAAGTCTCACAAGTTTTCCAAAAGCAATGGGAGTAATTAAAGGTTTCTCAGGCCCACTGTCTTCTCCAAACTAGCATTTCCAGACTAACTCTCAACATCAGAGTGTCCCCTACAAATTCCACTGAGTGCCATGCAATTCTTTTTTGCACATGTAAAAAGTGTTCAAGTTTTTGGCTGATTACAAAGAAAAACATTCATAAAAGAAATAAAAAGTCTAAAAAACATGAAATAAAAACAGCCAACTTCACTCATAATGAAAGAAATAAAAATTAACACAAATATACCATTTCTACCAACTGTATTAACAAATATTAAGAAAAATAAAAATATTCAGTATTGGCAAGGATGGGGTGCAGGTATTTTTATACATTACCAGTAAGCAATGTGGCAATGGCTACCAAATTTCTTAACATGTTTATTTTTTGACCCAGAAATTCTACTTCTAGGAATTTACCAAAATTACAAAGAGATGTACAAAAGATGTAGACACAAGGATATTTGTCAGAGTCCCTTTTAATAGTGAAAAACTGAAAATAACTTCAATGTCACAACAGGAGGTCAGTTAAGTAAATTATGATACATGCATAGGATGGAGTATTATGTAGCCATTTAAAATGGTGTAAATGAGTGAATGATGACAAGAAAATATTCACAATATATTACAAAATGAAAATGCACACTGAACAGCCACATGTATAAAAGGATATACCTTGAAAAAATAAAATATATGCATGAAGAAGGCTGCTAATACTTAGAATCAGAAAAACAATTATTTTAAAATAAGAGTAATATATGCTTATTATAAAAATTTTGGAAAAAACAAAATATAAATAAGAATAAATAAAAATCATTGTCACTATATTAACTCAAGGATAGTCATACATTTTGGTGTGTTTTCTTTCTCTTTTCTTAACTGATAAACATTCATGATTTTTTAAAATTTGAGATCATGTTATAAATGCAATGTTGTAACCTGTACTTTTTACTTAAGATTATACAGTACACTTTTTCCCATGACTATTAATTTTTTTCTGAAAATGTTATTAGTAGCAATATAATAGTCCACTATATGCATGTACTGTTATTTATTTAACCATTCCATATTGTTGGGCATTTAAGTTGCCTCTGGTTTTTTACTATTTAAATTATGCTGCATGCACAAAATTAAAATATTACAAATAAAGCTAAATCCCTTTGATCATCACCCTAATTCCAAGCCCCTCCTTCCTCAAGAATATATTCATGTGTTAAAATTAATTTCTAAAACATAAAGAAAAAATAAAAGCATGCTGAAGTCTGAGAAGTAACAAGAAGTTGCCAGCATTAAAATAGCTAGGCCCATATTAAAAAGAAAAAAAAAAGAGAGAGAGAGAAACGTGATGCTGAGCATCCTTTCATATGTCTCTCGGCTTTCTGTTTGTCTGCCTGGAGTGGAGTTGTGTGAATTCTGTATATATTTTAGAGATCAAACCCTTGTCCAAGGTATCAATATGATCTCACCTATAAGCGGGACCTAAACAAAACAAGCAAGCAAGCAAGCAAAATATAACCAGAGACATTGAAATAAAGAACAAACTGACAGTAACCAGAGGGGAGGAGAGAGGAGAATATAGGGGAAAAGAAGGGGAAGAGTCGTCAAAGAACATGTATGAAAGACCCATGGACAAAGCCAAAGTTGGGTAGGATTGAGAGTGGGTGGTGGGATGGATGGGGCAGGGGAAAGTGGCAGCAGGAAAATGGAGACAACAGTACTTGAACACCAATAAAAAAATTTTTTAAGTAAAATAAAGAGAAAAACAATGCACTAAAAATCCTTCTACAGTAATTTGTATAAAGCTCTGTTTATTTCCTTTAGCTAAATCCTGAGAGAAGTGAAATTACTGGGTCAAAGAGTATGAACCCTTAAAGCCCATATTACTATTGCCAAACTGCTTCTCAACAGATTGTATCAATTTGCATGCACATCTATCTGCATATGAGAGTGCCTGTTTCATTGCACACTCGCTATGCAGGATAATTCTAAAAACAGAATATTTTTTCAATTCATTTTGATTTTAAAAATATCTGCCATATGGAACTTTTTTTCCCTTTTTTGCAGAGTGGGGTGGATGCTGTGAAATCAAACAATAAGTGTGTCACAAGTCTTAAAAGGATAGGGATGGCTATTCATTAGAGGATATGAGTACCAGCATACCACCTTAATATTCCTTTCCATGTACTTTACATGAAGGCACCTGTAAGATAAAGTTCATGGTTCGCTCTCCCTGTGAAGTGCTATGATGCAAGGGAATCACCCATGGCATACCCAGTACAGTACGTTCTCACTTGGCATCTTCAATAGATTCTGTGACTTTAAGTGAAACAATGTATAATGACACTAATTTTACCATAAGCCAGCTAATTAATATAAGCAAGAGTTAAGTTCTTATGGCATCTCATCCATGTTATAACAAAACTATGTTGCACAAAACAATGTTATTTGAGAACCTGCTGTAAGGCCTGAATGCTGAATGTAAGTTGACAATGCTGAATGCCAGCATAAAAATAAATATGTGTATGAGTATTAACTCAAGAATGCACTCTTCTATCAAGAAAAGTATGCTAAATGCAGAGGTCACATGAATAATGGCTCAAGCCTGGACCCCAGGCTCAGTGTTCTGGCAAAACAGAGCTAATCTTGCTAAGGAAACTGATGTAATATTCAAAAGACAAGTCAAGGCACTGCCTTGAACTTCAGTTTCTCCATATATGAATGGAAAGGGGATGAAAAATACCGTCCAAGTGGAGAAAAGATAGCACTCACAACTCTCCCTCCCTATCTTGCTCCTAACTATCCTGGCTGTACTGGGTCTCCATGAACTCCAGCTGTATCAACACACCTCTGCTTTCTTCCCACCATTCCCATCCTCATCACATACCTCAATAGCTCAAGCTCAGATGTGCACAAACCTATGTACCCATAGCTCAACTAAAACAAGATGACATTTTTCAAAAAGAAATTCACTGAGAAGCTAGAGGGGAACACAGCTAAAATAAATACAAAGCTTGAAAGTTTTCAAACCACTCTAAAATAGAGTATCAAATCAACATGTTATACACTTTAAATTTACACAATGTTATAGGTCAATTATATCTCAACAAAGCTGGAGGGGAAAAAAGAAATCAAGTGGAAATGGGAAACATATTTCACTGACAATAGCATGAATAGAAACATTAAGAATAAACTCAATATAGGAAGTACATGACTTCTGGTCAAGATGGCAGTGTAGGCAGACATGGCTCACATCTTCACACAACCACATCAAAAATACAACTAAAATATAGGATAACTATCACTCAAAACTGGCAGAAATCAAATTAAATGGAAGTCTGACAACCTCCATTCAAGAGAACCATTTAATGGACAACCATTTAATGGAATGAAAGAAACATCCATCCAGACTGGTAGGAGCGGCGCAGACAACTAACTAGCTTGTCCCACACCCACGTTTGGCAGATAAAAATCTGGGAGGGATATCTCAGGAGTGAGAAGTCCCAACCCACACCAGTACCCCAGCCCAGGATCCAAGTGCCAGGAAGATAAGTCCCCAAAACTTCTGGCTGCAAAAACCAGCGGGGATTGAGTCAGTGGAGGAAAATTCTGGAGCCTCAAGCAATTCCTCTTAAAGAATCCACACATGGACTCACCTACTCAGACTCACTGCTTCTGAGCTCCAGCACTGGGGTAGCAGCTTGAAAGGCACCAGTGGCATACGGGGAGGAACTGAAATGTTGGGCGTCAAGGTGAACAGAGGCCATTGTCCCTTTTCTAAACCCTCCCTCCACAGATCCATAGAGCCAGAAAGCTGTTGCCATATCTGAGACTCCATCAACCCAGTCAACACTGTTTGACCTGCCTTGGAGATCCCCAGAGACTCCACTCCACCCAACTTACAGGCCCACCCAAGCTGCTTTTCCATATGAATGGCTTGTCTTGGCTCATGCTTCACAACTTCCTAAATCCTCTCAAACAAGCAACAGCTGGCCTCAGTGAGCCCCAGGCCTGGCACTAGCAGCAGCCAGCCTAGATTCATAGCTTAGCTTTGCCTAGGAATCTCCACACCCAGCACAGGTAGCAGCCATCTCAGATTGCTTTATAGTTCAGGCAGAGTGGCCCTGCAAAACAGATGGGGACTGACCTTGGCCTGCACCACCTGGGAAACCCCAGAGCCAGCGCATCCAGTGGACAGCTACAGACCATGCTGGAGCACCACTACCCTGCCCCTGTACAGCTGATCCTCCACAGAGGGCAGAGGTTGGTGGTCAGTGGTCACAGCCAGCCCTTGCAGCTGACTGAATTGGGTAAATCTCTCCCATTAATCTGCCAACAGTGATCAAAGCTCAACTACAAAAGGAGGGTATACTCAGCCCACATGAAGGGTGCACCTCGAGTACTCTGGTTAGGTGGTATGGAAGGCTGTGCCACTGGGCCTTACAGGATACCTACTACATTAGGCCACACTACCAAGACATGGAGTTAAAGCTGTGCTACCTAATACATAGAAACAAACACAGGGAGGCTGCCAAAATGAGATGACAAAGAAACATGACCCAAATGAAAGAACTGATCAAAACTCTAGAAAAAGAGCGAAGTGAAATTGAGATAGTAATCTATCAGATGCAGAGTTCAAAACATTAGTTATAAGGATGCTCAAGGAACTTAGTGAGGACCTCAGCAGCATAAAAAAGACAGCCAGAATCGAAAGATACACTAATTTAAATAAAGAACAATTTATAAGGAAACAACAGTAGCATAGATGAAGCCGAGAATCAAATCAATGATTTGGAACATAAGGAAGCAAAAAACAACCAATCAAAACAACAAAAAGAAAAAAGAATCTAAAAAAATTAGTATAGGTCCTGGCTGGTGTGGCTCAGTGGACTGAGCGCTAACCTGCAAACCGAAGGGTTGCCATTTCAATTCCCAGTCAGGGCCCGTGCCTGGGTTGCAAGACAGGCCCCCAGCGGGGGGCACGTGAGAGGCAACCACACATTGATGTTTCTCTCCTCTTTCTCCCTTTCTTCCTTTCTAAAAATAAACAAACAAAATCTTTACAGAAGAAATGAAGATAGTATAAGCAGCCTCTGGGACAACTTCAAGAGGTCCAACATTCGCATCATAGAGCTGCCAGAAGGTGAAGAGAGCAAGAAATTGGAAATCTATTGAAAAAATAATGAAAGAAAACTTCCCTAATTGGGGGAAGGAAATAGACGTACAAATCCAGGAAGCACAGAAAGTCCCAAACAAGATGGATGCAAACAGGCCCACCCAGGACAGATCACAATTAGAATGCCAAAAGTTAAAGATAGAGAATCTTAAAAGCAGCAAGAGAAAAGAGGTTAGTTACCTACAAGGAAGTTCCCATAAGACTGCCAGCTGATTTCTCAAGAGAAACTGCAGGCTAGAACGGATTGGCAAGACATATTCAAAGTCATAAAAATCAGGGACCTACACCCAAGATTGCTCTACCCAGCAAAAATATCATTTAGAATCAAAGAGCATATAAAGAGCTTCTCAGATAAGAAAAAAATTAAAGGATTTTATCATCATCAAACCATTATTATATGAAATGTTAAAGGGACATTTAAGAAAAAGAAGATCAAAACTATGAACAATAAAAATCGCAAAAATACATATCTATCAACAATTTAATCTAAAAATCAAACTAAGCAAACAAGAACAGAGACAGTATCATGGATAAAGAGAGAATTTTGATGGTTGCCAGATAGGGGGGTGGGGAATAATGGGTGAAGAGGTGAGGGGATTAAGAAGTGCAAATAGGTAGTTACAGAATAGCCACGGGGATGTACAGCACAGTATAGGAAATGGGGTAGCCAAAGAACTTATACGCATGGCCCATGGACATGAACTATGGTGTAGGGGTTACTGGATGGAGTGGGAGGTGCTGGGTGGGGGGAGGCACAGAGGGAAAATCAGGACAACTATAATAGCATAATCAATAAAATATACATAAAATAAATAAATAAATGAAGTACAGAAACTAGACAAAGAAAACCATAAAAACTGTATTAATGGGCACAAAATTCAATCTGAAAATACAGAAAGACATACTACCTTCTTGGACAGGTAGATATTATAAAAGTGTAAATTTCTTCACAAATAATTCATAAATGTAATGTAATACCTATTATAACTCCAATAGGTTTGTGGTTTTAATTAAATAAAATATTAAAATCCATAAAACAAACACATACCTTAAAAAGCTAAAGGTTAACCACAGACTGGTGCTCAATTCCTACAGAATTTAGTCTTAGAAGTCCTGGGTCCCTTTCTTTTACTCTATCTGGCTTGGATGCTGACTCAATCTGCTTGGATACCAGGCTTGAGAACAATTTAGACAAGCACTGCTGTTGGGTCTAGTGGGCTTATAGTCCCTGCTAGTCCTGGCATCACAGCCTTCTTTCTGAGTATGAGCTCCCAAGATATCCCCTCCTCTAGCTCTGCAGTGTTCTGCTTAAATTCACAAAGCCACCCTGGCTCCTAGGTAGTATAATATTTTATTGCTGTCTCAAAAAGTCCTACTCTAAGTTGCAGACCGCTCTGTAATGAACGTATAACTTCTTTCTACCATTCCTAGAAGTTTCAATTGTTCCTGGCACCATAACTGGCCCCTCTCAGCTTGTGTATTCTCCTAAAGCAAGAATTCTTGGTCAAGGGCCTATGAATGTGCTTCAGAAATTCTATGAACCCTTGAAAGTACATCCAAAATTATATAAATGTGCATGCATATAAGAATATTTTTATGAAGAGATGGTTTATGGTTTTCATCAAGAATAATCAAATGAGTTGATGACTCCCAAAGGTTTAAAAAAAATCCTCTTGGGAACAGTACAGTAGACTGAAAATCAACCCAACACAAGGAAGAAGGAAGCATATGACTCTCAAACCTTGTTATACCTGTCTTAGCAAAATCACAGGATGGTCATCATCTCAGATTCAAGTTCAAGATCTCAGAAGGAAAAGCCTAGAAGTGATTGCTAATCTGTAACCACCATTATGATTCCATTCTCTTACTAATTAAAGCCAACCCCTGCACAGTGTGTTGCCAGGTGGTTAGAAAACTCACCTATCTCCATTTCTATGAAAGCTGCCTCATCTGGTAGGGCTCGAGGGATCACTCCAGGGTCACTGAAGCTGGTCCTCAACAATGTAGCCATGGAGAAAAGGAAGAGCATGGCAGCAAACACAGGGATGGCAGGAGACAGCTGGACAGCCAGGTAACGACATCTGGAGAAAACAGGCAATTGAACATTTAGTTATACCTACCCTGTATGGACCATGAATCAATATGGTCACCACAAAATATGCAGTATCTTGAGGGCAGGGATCATGCTTTTTAGTTTGTTTGAATCACCCAAAACTCCCAACATATGGTTCTGTACATAGTGGAAGCTCAACAAATATTTAATTGATTGATGTCACCTATAACATACAGCCCAGCCCCTACTGTGAGCCTACGGGGAGTTATGTTTCATCTGTGCCTTAGGAAAAGTTTACAATTGTTAGGGTGAGGGAAGCACCTGAGCCTGGACTTGCAAGCAACACAGATTGCTCTCACTCTGAGAATGTCTTGAGCTTTTCATACCTACCCATGTGGCATTAGACCAGAGCTCCAGATAGAGGAAGAAAAGATGACTAATCATGAAGTGAGGTCCCAGTGTCAGACACAGAGTATGTCCATCATGTTTCAAGGCCAATAGAAAGCTCCAGGGATGCTGACTGACTTTGCAACATCCATTCCTTTTCCCTCCTCAATTAGCTCAGCTAGTAGGTGACTAATAGCCATAAGGAAATAAGAAAAGTATATCTCCTGAGTACCCTTCCCAATATCATGTTTGCTCCCTTCTTTCCTCAGAATTTACCTGAAAGGTCTTGGCTCTTCCTCTCTGGATATCCCAACCCTATTCATCTGTTAATTACCAGAGACATCAATGCCATCATTGTTATCATAACAACCATAATTTACTGAGCACTCACCATATTCTAGGCACAGCACTAAGCTCTTTATATGCATGATCTCACCCAACTCTCACATGAAATCTACGAAGGAGAGTCTATTATACTCATTTGATAGATGAAGAATATGGGATTTAGAGAGGTCTTGTCTCCTCCAAAAGGCTTATCCTAAGCTGCATTAATTTCTCCCTTCTCTGTCCCTGTTGTCCTCACTGCCAGAGCTTTGTATTGTTTCCTAGCTTTTTTTCACTCTATTGACTTCATCTCCCCCAATTCAACTTCATAAGAGCAAGAACCCTGTCTTTTTGGAGAAGAGGTGCTTGGGTTTAAATTTTGGCTCTACCAGCTCCTAGTTGGGTGACTTAGTTAACTTCAGTCTCCTTATCTGTGAAATGAGGATAGTAATAGTACTTCATGGGGTCATTGTGTGGATCAAATGCATGAATATAAATAAAATGCTCAGAGCTGCACTTGATACACAGTAAATGCTAAGTAAATGCTGACTACTAACATTATCATCATGGTTCTATATCTCCCAGAGCCTAACACAAGTATGTGAATAAGGAGGCTATCAACAAATACTTGTTGAGTAAAACTGAATTTCAAACCAAATAAATGGGAATATGTGATGAGAGTTATCACTGACCTATTTTTAATCTCCTCCTCCTGGCACATTTTCCCTTCAACACAGAGCTCTCCTCTTGGAGGCAGACTATATGTAGATAAGCAATGGCCATAAGGAGAGTGGAGAAAGTAAGCTGAGGAAAAAGCCTTACTTCATTGGCATGGGGCTCAAGCAAGCTGCTGTCCACTCTGAGCAAACATTTAATCACAGGTTGTACATACAGTGTGGTTTTGGAACAATCCCCATAAGATCCTCCCCTGCATCCCTTCTGCACACACAACTCCATGCAAACTAACTGTAATATTAGGCTGAGCCATTTGTCATGAAGGTGAACATATGTAGTGAACTTGCAAAATGATTTTTGTGTTTTTTTGTTTGTTTGCACGCTTATTTGTTTTTAACAAAATGCTTGGTCTTAGCTTGCTTTTGTATGGTGTACTTTCTCCTCCTAAATGCCAAAGGTAGGGGGAAATATTTGGAGAACTCAAGGATCTGGCCAACTGAGTTCAGGGTAATTAAAATCTGAATATCACAAGTTGTGAAGTACCCTCTTTTCCACTATTCCCCTTCACTGGTACAGATAATCAAAAAATAAATTCGGAAATGAAAGTCACCTCCACTTACCAGGGACACAAAGGCCACAGGAAAAACATGAGTCTCCATTTCATGAACAAGCCAAGTGAAATCACCACACTAACAGAAATCAACCATCTTCCTAAAATTATTCTTGAAAACAAAGAAGTAATGTCTCTAGGACTCAAACTGCCATGGTGTACAGTCTCCAACTGAGAGCCATCTGATTGGACACCAAAAGAAGTTTAAATTGTTTTATTACAGGGAAAGCTACAAAGAGAATAGGACAAATGCACACACACATACACAGACACACCCTCATGCACACAGACACAAAATTAATGTTGCTCTCATGCAAAGGACTTGCCCAAGTTTAACTAAGTCCCCTTCCAACACCTGCTTGTCAATCAGACAAAGAACAACTTGAATTATGCTACACTATCGCAGATAAAGGTCTCTGTAATCTCCACACAGATTATCTTCTGCACCTGCTAAAACAATCCACTCTGTATGTCAACAAGTACACAACAGGCCCATTGTATGATTCTCCAGAGATGAGGCTACTAGCAGCCAGTTGTCACTAGCGAATGGGTGTGGCTGGGATGGCAGATGTGGAACCAGCAGGACTTTCTACTCTGAGTAAGAAGAAACTTAGAGAGCCAGCAGCTAAGAATGTTTTGAATTACAACTTATCATGCCTGTCTTTAATAGTTATGACCAAAAATATCCCCCTAGGTTAGTCCTATCATTGCAGTAAGCTAGAGATCTATCCGTGACAGGAATAAGCTATGTGAAGATTCAGTCGTAATTCCCAACATAGATCTCAAAAGTCAGGAGTATCCTCAAATATCACTAATTTGTCTTAAAAGACTGGATCTGCCACTCCAAAATACAAGCTAACTGGTTTTGAAACTCCCTAGTATTTTCCATCAATATCGCTTCTTAGAATAATGATATCCATACACTTCTGGAAACAGAACTCTCCTTTGTCTTCCAAATACCAAGAGACCTTTCCTTTCCAGGGTGTTGGAAGTTGCTTTTCTCTCCTGTGAATTTCATATATACAACCATGTCTCCCACAAAGTCTTCATTTCTGCCACCTGAATAGGCATCATTCTTTTAAGTCGTCCTCTACCAACTTGTTGATTGGCCTCAGGCTTCCATAGCTGGGCCAGACGACTAGATTCTCACATCTCCCACAGGCCACATGGTGGTACTGACCAGCAGTAACCAGCAGTGCCAGGCTGGGCTGGTATGTAATGTACCATCCCCCATTCTTAGGATGCAAGTTCATTGGAGGGACAATGATAATGACATAGACTTCAATTCACATGAAAAAAAATCAAAAGACATTCATAAGTGGAGCCAGTAAGAAACCAGACAGATTCCATGGCAGGGCTCTGCCTCACAGACTGGAAGTATGAACTGATCATCTATATAATATTCCGCTTCTAAGTCTCCTTAATAGCTATCTTGCTATGTTTTTTGTTCTTTTTTTTGTTGTTGTTGTTGTTGCTCTTTGATCAGTACACTCCATCAACCAACAAGTATTTATGGGTATAGCAAATGAAGAACAAGAGAAATAGGAGTTAATTTTGTTGTGGAAAACATAACTAACATATAAAACAGCTAAAGAATAAGATAAGGTTAATAATCACATGTTAAAATGGTATTTCAGACTCTAAGGATGATAAATGGTTAGAGAAGAGCTCTCTTGGGAAGGTGGTGGCTGCCTGAAACTGCTCCCAAAGCAGCTATTAAGGGTGGCTTTAAGGAAGAGCTATGTTTGGAACAGCAGGAAGCACCCAAGGATTATAGAGAGCCTCACAATAGCTGTTGGTCCCACCTAATAGAAATAAGCCTTTGCTATAAGTCCTCCCTGATATGGACAGCTGTCTGTCCTCTTACATACTACCTACCTCTAGGGCACACTAAACATGTAGGACCACCCATAAGAATGGTTCGAGTTTCCTCTGATGACACTTGAGTCTGCTGAGAGGTAAAAGTTTCCTTGGACACTAAAAACATAATTCAAAATCAGCCTCCAGATTTATTGCTATGTGAAGGTCAGAGGAAAATGCATAACCCTGTTTTGCTCCAGTAGCAATAGGGAAAATTAACCAAACAGGGCATTTTCAGTTCTGAGGCAATGAGCCATCCTCTTACTGAGGGAGGCCAAAGTTCCTATCCAAACCTGCTAAGTAGTCACCAAATTTCAGTTATAATGACAAATTTCATATTTCAGTGATAACAAGTAACAGATTTCAATCATAGTATACTCCTGCACAAGAACTTAAAACAATTCCTGTTGCCTACTATATTAAGCCCCAAACTCCACAGGTCAATATTCCAAGACCCTCCATCAACTGGTCATATCTACTCATCATCAGAAGGTTCTTGTCTTTTTGTTGCTCCATTCTAGAAGTATCCTCTTAATTACCCTGAATTCTTTAGCTTCTTGCTGTTGCAAGAGGCATAAGGTGTCTCCTTTGTTCTTAAACTCAATACTCTCTGAGAAGAAAGATTTAGGATGTCTCCTCTCTCCCTCAAATACCTCAACTGATGTCAGCATGCTGTTAGACATCCCTGTTCTTTGTGCTCGCTTTTCCAAAAATAAAAGATCATTACACTCAACTAAGACTCATTCTGAAAAGATGGGAGACGCATCCAATGGAGACTGACAGCATGAAACTCATTACCATTAAAAGTGTAGACTGAAATATACAGATAAACTCTTAATTACAGAACCACAAGGAATTGTTAAAGGAAAGCACACTATTCAGGAGACATAACCTAATCATTCTCCAGGAATGTGCTTCATCAGGAAGGTGTGCTTAACTAAGGACTATAACAGATTGATATCAAAAAGGCAACTACTCCTTTTTAAAAGAGTCATTTGGTTGGCCAAGTCACAGACAGAATCTTAGGCTAGATGAAGTACAGGACTGAACCCCTACAAATCAATTCTCTAGAGAATGTTCTCTTGGTTAGAGATCATGATAAAGTCACTTTTTCCTCTTCCCAATCTCACCTAAGGAACTTCAGGAACCTGAGCCTTGCACTATAAACACAG